CTTAATAATAATCCTAAATTTATGTCACCGACACACAATTCTTCTTCTTATACCATAAACTATACCAATGACACCGAGGATAAAGTTGCAGGTCCAACTCACTGTCATTGATAACCACCTTGCGTCTCTTATGTTTATTGTCAAGTTAACCTTAAACTCTTCGGTTGGGGTGTCTAATGTATAGAATTAGGTTATTTGACGTCGGATTAATTTTGTTGAATTTATGCCGAAAATTCTAAAACTCAAAATTGACATATTTAATAATCGTGTTAAAATGTATAAACACTAACTTAATTTGACCATTAAACGGATTACCTGAACTTGCCTATTTAACACGTTTAATAAAAAAAGTCATTTTCGACTTAACATACATAACATGATTTATTTAACTTGTTTAACACATATAACATGTTTTCACACTAGTTCATTACCATTAAATATATCAATCAATCATTCATCCAAAATTTCAAATATTATTTTTACAAATAATATATCACATCTCATCAATGAAATTAACTAAAATGTATTCAAGTTTCAATCCAAAAATTAAAGTAAGAACTATACTGTCAATTATCATAGTAAAAACAAGAATTAATAAGTAATAAGGTTTAGACTACATCATTCATACATAATAGCCAAATTCTACTGCCGTAAACGGGTTAAATGGGTCTACAATGAGTTAAGTTAAGTTCATGTCTGAATTATGTCAGCTCGTTTAAAATATATGGGTTAATCAGGTCAAAATTAGATTGACCTGATTTTGATATGAACTGGATATGATTTTTTTCGTGTTTGAGCGTGTTGACCTGTTTTAACCTATTAACTCATTTAATTTCGTATCCAATTTATTAATTTCGTATTCAATTCGTGTCATGTGGTGTTAAACATGGACATCCCTAGTTCACCCTACTATACGACTAAGAATTTAGATATTCTATCTTTCTACCTGATACTTTGTGAAATAATTTTTTCTTACCTTACCCTATCCAATTAAGTATACTATTCTCACCTGAATATCACCCAAAATAATCGGATAGGAAATCGGATAAACACATATTTTTTAGTTATTAATTTTTGGATCATTTTAATAATTTAATTAAGTAACCTGCACCAATTAATTAACACAATAAACCAATAACATTAAAAAAAATACAATAAATTTGATAATATATAAACAATTATAATAAAACATAACAAGAAAGTTATAAATATTAATAAAATATTAGAGTTTCTAGATTTTTAATTTTTAGAGATCGACACACACACATATAAAATAAAATATATGCCGGTAGAATATGGTAAGAATACGAAAATTTGTAGGTATTCTGTATTATTACTCGATTTTGTTGCGAAATACCAAAAAATCTTTTGTTGGCCTATTCGATTCTTTCGGGTAGTCGATCAATAAAATCGGGTAACATCAAAATTTACGCGCCTTCACATATGTAGTTAAAGTGTCAAGATATGCTTCTGACTTTTTATCCAATACAAATGTATCATGTGTATAGTTTTTTATTCTATTATTTTATTACTTTTTCATTTTTTTAAGTTAATGATTGTAGATTGTTCAAATCAAAATCAAACAAATAATTTTTCAGCAGGATAGGATAGCTCCGCAATACTGTAGCCTTACCCTGCAGCCATTATATCACACTCCTTTTGATCCAAAAAAAAATATATATATATTATATCACACTCCTCATCCAACACGATGACCTATCACCTTAAAAAAAAAAAAAGTTCAATGCAAGATTCCTCTACCATTTTAAGGCTTAAGAAAAGTCGAACATAAAAGCTTACTCCTATGTCACAGAACACGTTTCTATCACTTAAATCCTTGAAATTCAGATCACTAAAGAGTAATTTCTCGTATTCACGTCACTCTCAAATAATAACATTAAAATTCTACTTCCCGTTGATCAATCACACAAGCATGGGGGTTAAATATATAGGTTTTTTTTTCTTTATTTTCTTTAAAACCCAGTCAACATTGGGCACAAGAGAAAGGCAAATGCTATATATATTGGACGTCCCTAAAGGAGATATTGCTATGAATGTGACTGCCTCAAATGCTTCTATAGTCTCTCAAATAAACCTAACGTCACTCTCTTCTTTATTGAGTCAGATATAACATAACCACATAACAAATAGTTTTCTATTATAATATAATAATAAATACAATTCAATAGCACTGTCACAAGTAGGGACGGATCTAGAAATTAGATACGGGAGGAAAAAATCGCTTGGATAATAGTAGTTGTGAAAGTGAAAAAAAAAATAGAAAATTTTGGAAAGTCGAACTTTGTATAATTGTAAGAATCACTTATACGACACACCATTAATTGTATGTTTTTGAATTGTCGATAACAACATTGAACTATCAATATTTTTGAACGTACCATTGGGCACCTTGTTTTTATATGATTTATAAAAGATTATGATCCTATCAAGAGCAACTTCCTTGCAAAGTTTCCATGATGTAAGCAAATCGAAAGGAAATATAATAGTCCTATTGTTGAAATCTTTTTGAGAATAAAGTTTGGCCTTCTTTAAAGCTATCAAGAAACCTAAAGATCCTCCATGTTATGTCTTTTTGGATGGTATCATAGTCTCTCTCTCTCTCTCTCTCTCTCACACACACACACATTATTGAAACAAATGGGACTTCCCCATTACATCTCATTGGTACAACTAAAAGTGAAAGGTTTATTACTCCAATAATGATGCTTAAATTAGAAGAAACTCATGTTGATCATTTTTATGCCTAATCTATTGCCTGAAAGAGTGGAATGCCAAACCTATTAAATGTAGGATTTCGTAACCAAAAGATACAACAAATCTCACGAGATTAGCGGTAACGTGTAGGTTTCACAAGAACTGGAACAATTAACATGACATGTAGAGTGACCATGCCAATGTTTCCTGGTGTCCTGTCTTTAGATTGCACAAACTCCTATCATAATCAATAAGGACGACAGTTCTCAATACGATCCGTCAACTCAGTACAAGTTGTTGACACATAATTATCGAGTATTAATTTAGGTCTAATGGGTTGATACAAACCCAACTAAATAAAAGTTATACCCAATACGAAAGTGGAACTAAACATGTATAATTTTAAATTGAACGAATATGAGTAAAATAAATTTTGACATAATACGAATTCAACACGACACATTGACATCTCCAATTATTATGTTCCATTTGGTACGAAGGAAAAGTGAGAGGATGAAAAGTTGGAGGGATAAATAAAACATCATGTTTGGTAAGGAAAGAAAATAGGAAGGATAGAAAAGTGGATTGATTAACTTTCCTTTTAACTTACCAAAATCAATCCCTCTAAAATCGAAAGAAAATTGGATGAAAAGTTAATTATTTGTATTAGATGTATCTTATTTGTTTATATATCTTTTTATATATACATATATTATGTATACATTAATTTCATATAAAAATACAACGGTAAAATATGAATGTGTGTATATATATATATTAAAAATTTTAAAATTAAATTTTAAAATAAAAAAAATTAAATAAAAAAAATATTTTTTTTATCTTAACTAAAGGTGAAAATTTTTGACTCAACACGATTCGAATTCGATACGAAAATAAATAAGTCAACTCGCAACTCGATACGACACAATTAGTTAATGAGTTAAGTTAGATTTGACTAATATTCGACACAAATTCATAATGACTCAACACGAATCTGACACGACATGACTCGATTATCACCTCTAATCTTAGGCATCACAAAAAAAAATAATCATTTTTATTTTCTATCCATCCAACCAAACACAAAGGAAAGAAAGTGTATATTTTCTATTTTCCATCCTTAAAAGATAGAAAGTATATCCTTCCTACTTTCTATCCTCCCTACCAAACGGAGTATTAGTGATACTAATTGCTTGCCTTTTCTAGACACAGGTGGTTATTCTACCATACCAATATGTATGATTAACATTGATTAGATCTAACGCACGCATGAGTTTTTTTTTTTGTTGGGAAAATGTGATAATAATGAAAAAGGGCGATAAAGTTATGTGGGTTCTTTCTTTTATCAAGGTTGTTCTAAAAGCCACTGACAAACAGTAGCCACCTAGAATATTTCTACCTTTTAACTGTTTATCTTCTTCGGCAAGATTAATGATTGAGGTTCTAGGCATTATGAATTACACAGAACCGGGAACAATAATTATGTGTAGTCATATACTCCTATTTGGATGCCATATGAAAATAATTGTAATGTGGGACCCAATTTGTCAGATTTTTAGTTTTGCTGTCCCTCAATGAGCAGTGAAATTGTGTAATGTTTTAGATGGTTGTGAAAATGATCACAATCGAATCGTGTTTTGTTAGAATATAAATTATGAAAATTTTGTTTTATCACATTTAAATTTAGCCATTTTAGATTTATGTTGTATTTGTATAATATTCGATCAACATATACAATTTGTGAACAAGAAATTTCTGTATTAGGAACCCTTCTCTCTTGATCAAATCCATTACACATAAGTTTGTTGTCGTATAATCATTCTTATTTAACACTAATTGAACGTTAATTGATCATAATATTACTTAAATCTAATTTGTTGACCTAATTTATTATTAACATTGGTTTGATAGTGGGGCTCAAAGTTGATTAGAACTCTCTACTAATCTAATAATTATGATACATTATATCAGTAAATTACGACCTAATAGTATTATTATATTTGACCATATCGTGTTAGTTTTAAGTTGTGTGATGGTCGTATAATATCTTCTGAAAATCCTTCAAAGGGTTGATGGGGGAATATAAATGACATTATGCAAGGAATGAATGTAGTAGAAAATAGAGAAAACATAAACAATTGAGGCTATCAAGCGTGATCATTCAACGTATTCCTTTAGATGATTTTAACCCTATGAAGTTCTAATACAACATATGACAAAAGAAACAGAAGAACACTACAAAAACACCAAAATCTGATTACAAGTTTGGCCCTTTTGCCATTAGCTTATTCCCCACCCCGCTCTCCAAATCCTCTCTAATGAAAACTAAGAAATTTGTGACTCAACCAAGAAAGAACTAAAATGTTCCACAGGACTACAAACAATCAAATCAGAAAATACAAGCTTGGCCCTTTTGCCATGTGAAGTTTTAGCTTCTTCAGATTGTTCTTGACATTATAATTTGCTCACAGTAACAGCAATTCTTTTCTTGTATTTACCGGTGTCTTCCCCAACGGCCATAAGAATTTTTCCAGGAAACTGGAGGTATGAAATTTTCTACTCAACTTGATGAATGATTTGCTTGTCTTTATGATCTGAAATGGTAGCAATATTCCAATCAAATGTTGATTACAGACAGCACTCTGTATGCCCTTTTGTGTAGAAGAGAGAGAGAGAGAGAGAGATACGGGAAGACAATGGCAAGAAAGAATTGTGGCAATGCATGTGTACCTGTGCTGCCACTATGAGCTTGGCACAATAGTTCCGATGTAGCCGAATCCTGTGATGGTAAAGGTTATGGTTTGGAGGAAGAGATATATGAAGTAGTTGTTCTTTCCATAGAGAAAATCATAGCATCCACAGAAGAAGAGGAATGCTGCGAATCCCAGCTCCAACATATGAATTCTGAAAATTTATAACCAGGGAACATTATTAAAATGCTAATCTAACCACAGATGAGTGTTTGAGAGTAGAACTAGATTGAAAGAAATTCAATTACCAAAAATAAGCTACTTGGGTGACCTTACTCATATTACTTTTGCATCGAAAATTTTTTATGCAGCTGTTGATATGTCTAAAGCTGCCCAAATACAAGCTAACAACAAAATTTTAGAAACTTTCCTTTATATTGGACAACATACTTGCAAGAAAAAACAATTTCCCAACCCACATTTTGAGAATGCTTAATAGTTATTAGGCGTTGTGTTTATATTGCAATGAGGATTTGTTTGTGTGTGTGTGTAAGGATGCAAAAATGTCCAACATTGCAACACAATTTTATTTATAACTCTTCATGGACTAGCAAAACAGAAAGGGAAAAAAGAAGGAATTAAGGACACAAATGTATGTACAAATAAAGCAAGAATGGTTAGGACTTATTCACCTGTCTCCAATCTTAAATATGGCTTTCTTTGGGGCTTTGGTGTTTGATTTGTTCTTGATAGTATCCCCTAGTTTTTCAGTAACAACCCATTCATTAGCTCTCTTTGCTTCTAGAAGACCGATAAGCGTTGCCTTGGTTCGGTGCATAGACATCACATTCTCAAAAAGTATCCAGTAAAATAACAAATGGATTGACCTGAAAGTTCAAGTTAAAAATTCAAGGTAATGAATATATAATACTGTAGCTTTTTCTTCTGCAAGGAATGTACTAGAGAAGAGAATTGATTAGAAAATTGAAATTGCAAAGTGTACTACCTTGGAGTTCCAACTGAATTTAGAATAGTGATGATGCAAGGGATGTAAATGGCTCCCCATTTTGGAACCTCGACTTCAGGAACCAAAATAGTCAAGGGAAGTACAACACAGTAGAACCAGAAGGTGACCATGTGAGCAATGATCTTCCGAACAAAGAAGAAGCTGTAGATCATATACACCTTCTTCCACAGGACAACTTTCTGCAATAACATGTAAAATCAGGGATTGATTACTGATTTACTTATTCTATACCAAGACTCTTAACTTCTCTATTGACTTCAAATCATAGAATTCAGTGAACTGACCTTGTTTCTTACGATCTCCATCACCATTTTCCGGAACAAATTAGCAGGACCACAAGACCACCGATGTTGCTGGAAACGAAAGGCTTTGAAAGTACTAGGAAGTTCACTTTTCACCTATCATAGAAATCAATTGCACTGCACGTCAATCATCAAGCACTAAAGTTCAGATTTTGGATCTCATAGTTATGCTGTACATGAACAAATTAACCACACAATGCATTGTGCCTTCTTATTATAATCTACAAAGAAACATATGTTTTGATAACAATTTCTAACAAAGAGAGATAACTTCTGTTTTCAAATGAAAGAAATACCAATTGGGCAACTTAGTCAGGGTTTCATAGCATATCTCTGTATGCGACAGTGAATCTAGTGGAGGATTTGAAAATTCTTTTATTTTGTCATAGGATTTATGAATTGCTCCTCACAATCTTAAGGAAGTCACTCCCCATCCCCATCCCCATGCCCATCCCCTCCCCCTCCTAAATACCTTCACAAGACACACAACAAATTGGTGAGAGTCATTATAGATTGCGCATGTGTTATGTATAATTGTAAGTATATATATATATATATATCTATGCAAATACCTGGAGGTCACCAAGGTAAATAAATTTCCAGCCCTTAAGACCAGCTCGGACAGCAAGATCCATATCCTCAACAGTGGTTCGATCCTTCCACCCACCGGCCTCATTGATAGCCGCGATTCTCCATATGCCACCAGTCCCTTCATTGTTATTTTTTAGTTCATGATTAAGAAAATTTTCACATACAATACTTGTTGAACAGATAACAAACTGAAAAATTAATCTGGTAGATGTTTTTTAAGTTAATGGTTTACCATTGAAACCAAAGAAGGCATGAGTAGATGATCCTACTTCTTGCTCCACAGTGAAATGGTAATCTAATGACATCTCTTGCATCCTTGTTAATAAACACTCATCCGAATTCACTGCAAAATGAAAACAGGTTAACTGTAAAATATTTGACAAATAATTTTAAATCTCAATCCCAAAAAACATGGAACTCCGAGAATGTTGTCGCTGCATATGATATTTTTCTTATAATTGTGCCAATAATTTTACACATGATTATTCTCCGAGAACCATTTTGATCGCTCATTGAAATCATAGTTATTAAGTAAATTCTAAACACACATTCACTCACGAACCACCAACATAAAATGGAATAGACCCAATATTACAACACTTCAAGATTTAGTGTAACCTTGAATTCTAGCATTACACTAGAAAAACCCGAGTAATTTTTCAAAATATAAATTTCTGGAAAAACGTATTCTCAATCTAAATCCTATTTGGTTTGCTCAACCAAGTCCTATCCTTTGCCATGTAATTTACATGTAGAAATTTTATTTCATTAGAGAAATGAAATATTTGTTATACGAATTATTTTACAAATAGTGTTATAGTTCTAAAATATTTTTATAAAAATATATACATATTTTTTTTTTTGGGAAAATGAGGTGAAAACACAAGGTCCTACTCCCATCCACATCTCCCTTTAGTGATGGGTGAATATTAACCATGGTCCTACCACATAATTTTTCTGAGGTTGGTGAGTTGGCAAACTCCTACTTGCAAATACATGAAATGATTTGTTAATATATACTTGCACAAATACATAGGCTTAGAAGCCATAAATGTCTCATCATAAACAAGAAAAGAGCCGTTACTTCTCTGTCATCACATGCTTCCATATCATCAAGAACAGAGTGAACAGATCTCTCATTCAGAGCAATCTAAGACAAGATTGGAACCTAAAACTAGTAAACCAAATTGGATAAATGTACACTCAATAATAAAGTATAAATCAAATTAGTGAAGTAGGGGTTTGCACGAATTAAAATAATACGATACGACACGACATTGCGGGACAAAATTAATGTCCCAAGTTAACTTGTACATCTTGCCACATCTGTAGCTAACAAACTCTAGTGTCGGTGAGTAGAGTAAGGCAGTAGGTACGAACTACAGAGAGAGTATATTGGCACGTGGAGGTAATAAATGATGGATTTGCCCATCCAATGATAGTTGACCTTTATTTCCGATCCACAATCAATCAAATGTTTGTTTGTCCCTTTCCACCAAAATGACAAACCTACTCCGGATATCTAGCACTTCCATGCCGGTTTATCCGGGGGAAACAGTTTCTTTTAGGAAAAGGTCAGGATAATTACGTCTTTTTAAGCATCGAATGACGCCAATGATAACGGTACTTCATTGAATTGATACTGAAAGATATTAACATAATATTCCTTGATAACATGGACAAAGTTTTCATTTAATATCACTAAAGCCCGGAAAAATATTAGGTGTAATTACACCGGTGAGTGTCGAACCTCGATCAATAAAGTTCAATTCAATATAGTAGCACGACAAAAACATGCAAAAAAAAATATATTAGGTCAGAATATATCTTTCAAAATTCTAGAAACGGGTTATATGTCGGGTTAAACGGTTGACAGGTAAAAAACATATAAAATCGTACACGACACATTTAATAAACGAATGAAAAATCTCAGAACGAACACAACTTATTTCAATACGACAAGATTCATTTAACCTGTTTAATTTTAAAAAAATTATATCAATAAATTTTAATACTTTATTTTTTTTTATTGCCAACTATATTTACATCAAAAAAAAAAGAAATCTTTAACAAAATCTCACATAAAAATTAAACTTGAAGGCTAAAATAAATACAAAAGGTCACTACTTCTTTTAATATCAAGTCAGCCTTCTAAATCTCCTGTCATTTGCCTATGTGAGACAAAAATAAAAGGCATTAATTTATTTTTGTCTTTGAACTTCTCCCTATCTCCCATCTTTTGTCTTTAAACTATTACTTTACTTCTTTTTTCTGGCTAATTTTTAAAATAATTATTAATTTATTATTATATTAATTTTATTTAAACGGATAAACATGTGATAAACAGTTTGACAAATTTCACCCGAACACTATTCGTTTATTAAACGTGTTTAGCGTGTCAATCTATTTATCACCTAAATCCGTTAAGATCTAACTCAAATCCGCTTAATTTGTATCGATTCGTGTTAATTAATCATGTCGTGTCAGATTTTGATTCATCTACATAATTCGATCCAACTTTAAAAGTAATCTAGAAGGGCCTTTTAAGTGATAATTAACAACATAAGGACCGGTAAATAATTATTTTAAGTTTACTCAAAGTAGTAGTGGTTCATAACTAATCCAATTTATAAGGTCAAAAGAAAATTAAAAATATAATTTTTTTTTTCTATGGTGGTAGTTGCTGGTGTGGTGTGGTTGTGGGTGCATGTTTTGGATTTGTTTTGTTGGCTGAACACCGTGATGTACGGCCACATGACAAAACATGTGTCGCAATCAGTGGACAATTGGTGGTCCCACCCGGTAATCAATGGAGTTGGCTTGGGACCCAACACAGCGTGCAATCTACCGCATTCACTTCGGAAAAGCAAATAGAAAAAAGTACCCAAAATTACATCTAAGCACATACATACAAGAGACCACCGACACTCTTCGATGCTAAAGCATGTTAAAATTTGAAGAGAATTATTTTGTAGACTAATGTTATGGAAATTTAAAAAATTTGATATAATTTGTTGACATAATGATGTGGCTTCATTAGAACTATTGGATTAATCCCAAATTTTAATATTTGATGGAGTCTGCAGTCAATCCAGAAGTCATAGTAAAACTATATTATTATATCAATAAATTATGTCAAATTTTTAGGTCTTAATACCAATACTCTATTTTGTAGGGCAACTATAATCAAGGTCTTAATAGCATAATCATTGGGGTTGCTCGGATGGAAAGCTTTTTAAGGGTTATTTTCATCAAAAACCCTAAATTTAAAAATCACAAAATACGTTTAAAACAGGAAAGAATTCATTTGATGTGGTTATGAATTGTGAAAAAAAAGTTTAGACACAAGTACATGAAAATTATGATGCAGCACGATTGTGGGTGTCAATGACATCGACTAACAACTCTAAATGTAGTTCAAGTAATAATAGGCGTTGTAAATAAATCTAAACCGTCTGAATTCGAAGTTTAACATCTATTTTAAATCAGGTTATGACGAATTTATTTCTCATGAACACTCTAATTTTGACGTGAATGAATTGCCATTTAGTAGACTAAAAAGAGAGAATTAGTCAACTTAAACACCTCTGACCAAGCCACTAATCTCATCACCGACAGTGATTTGGTGAAATAGATTTGATAAATAATATAGGGTATGTAACATTAGAAGAACAAGAGAGCTTAATCATGGTTAAGTTAGGAAGCTTACCAAATCTCCAACGAGCTTGAACAAGGGCAACTTGAGGGTTATGAATAAGGAAAGGTATGGATCGCCGGAGAAAATCCGGTTCGGGCCGGAAGTCGGCATCGAAAATGACGACGTATTCGCAGTCTTTGACATAATCACGCTTTAGTCCTTCTTTAAGAGCACCAGCTTTGTAGCCTCCCCTGGTTTCTCTAATTTGATATACTATGTTCACGCCTTTGCTTGCCCACCTTAAGCATTCTTTCTCAACCATATCCTACAAACATTAATGTGGTTTCAATGACAAAATAAGCAAACCCAGATTAAATTGGGTGGACCCAAATGAGAAATTCAAGAAAATCAGATGTTAATGGTGAGAGATTTGGTATGGTGAAGCTGGAATTGGTCAACCTTAATTGAGCCTAAATCAGAAGAAAATGATGGTTATAGAGGAACCCAGATCAAGAATTTCTGAAATTTTAAGAATTTCACAAATTTAATGTTTCTGAAATTTGGGTGCATTTTGATAAATAAACAAAAAAATGCAGCTATTGAACTGAATTTCATGAACAAATCTGTATTGGTTTTCAGTTGGGGAGTGTTTGGATGGCAAATTTGAGTACCTTGACGAGAGGGTCAGTTGAATCATCAAGTACTTGAATCACAAGACGATCCGACGGCCATGAAAGATTACATGCTGCTCCAATGGAGATCTTGTAGACCTGTTCCAAACACACCATTAACATTTAACAAACACCAAATCTCAGCTTTTTCTCACTCACCCAGAATCCCAAAAGCTGTAAAATTAACAATACCAAAGCACATAGTATCGAAGAACTCTCTCTTTCTCTCTCTCTCTCACACACACACACAATAAACAGATAAAGAGAGAGGGAGATAACAAACAACCTCTTTTTCATTGAACATTGGGATTTGAACAAGGACCAATGGAAAGCTCGCATTGCCACTCTCCAAGTCATCACGCATAGGCTCCCATTTGTACCGTTGATCGGGCTTTTTCCAGAAGAGTTTGACAAGGATGATAACCACACCCATGTACACCCTCTCAAAGAAAAGCATTAGTGACATGGTCAAGCACATATACACAGCAAGCCTAAGCAGTGGGACTATCAATGGCGCTTTGATTAGCTCCCACATCAACCCAATTTGTCCTGCAATATCTAATGATGTACCCTGAAAAGACTCTGGTATGAAAGTTTTTTCAGAAACCTCAGCCATTTTCTCTCACTTAACTCTCTCTCGCTCTCTATCTCTCTGGCTCAAAGCAGAGCAGTACTTAAACAGGGGAGGTAAAACAGGGGATGATATAATGGCTAAAATCACTTAGATCTACTATCACTCAGCTTCTCATTGTATGTGTCTAGGAGTATTTGATACTGCATTGTACCACAATATGGTTGAAAATTGAATAAAGCAGCACAAATCAATACTGGGTTTACTCAGAAAGAGAAGGGATGGACCAGTTCAGATCTCTGTTTTATCTCTTCTGCCCTTTCAAGGTCTCCTCTCTCTCAGTTTGTGCCAAACTACTCTTCTGTTTCTTTCTATTCTATCAAAACAGAATAGACAGAGAGCAGAGGTGTGGCATTGAGGGGGAGGGGGAGAGAGAGAGAGAGAGCAGAGGTGTTGAGAGAAAGTAGAGCAAGTAATGGAGAGAGAGAAGTAGGAACTTTTATAGTCAGTTTTGGTCTCATTAGGACTATTTATTACTGACTTTGTCTCCCCCTTCTTTTTTTTAAAGGGGCGTGATTTTTGTTATTTGGTAAAGACCGGAACCTTAACTGTTCCAACTACTACAGTGAAAAGAAGTGGTAGACGTTGCAAGTGGGTCAAACTCGGGACCGGTGTCAGATGCCGGCAATGGTGGCAGTACCTAGTCCACCGACAATAGTGGCATTTACCATACTATATACTTTCAGTAATTATCCAATCCAAATTTGACTACACGGCGTTTACTTGGGCACGAAAAAGTAAACACAAATAATTTATACATTAGAGCTATAAGAGATCCGCTTTGTACAAAAATTTTTACTTAAATTCATGATAATCAATCTATTAGATATCCTTTTAATTCTCATGGGGTTAGTGGAGAGCTACACTTGCTCTACTTGTTATTGATTTTTTTTTTTTAATTCAACAGTCATTAGTGTGCGGACTAATTTATCGGTCCAATCAAAAACATGATCCACATTACATTTTGGAACTATTTATTCTGGCCATAGGACTTCAACACGAACAAATAGCTCAATGGCAAGAGATGGGTCTGAGATGAACCAAAACTTGAATATTTTTCAATAATCTCGTGGTAATTTTTTTTAATGTAACAAATACGTATAATTAGGGTGTATTTGTTAACATAAATTCAGCACTTCAAACGAATGTATTCAGCACTTACTAATTAAATATGTTTGATAATCAAAATTTAAACTCTCTTAATATGTTAAGTGCTACTTAAAAATAGGTTATAATATTAAATAGGAGATCTCTTAGTTAAAGCTCTAATTAGTCTTCGTTTTAAAACTCCTAACATATATATTCTCTTTGTTGAGTTCTTTTTTTTTTTTTTCTTGTCTTTTGTAACAAAAATATACATATATAATTATAATTACACACACAAACATACACACTGCACACACACAATTACACAGACATATGCACTGCACACACATATACTTACACACACACACGACACACACACATTGTTAATAAAATCTAATTTATTGTATTTTTTGATTATTTATTAGTTATTGTTCTTTTTTATATCAGATATTATTGTTCACTTATTATGTTATTCAATTTGTTATTGTTTACTTATTGTGTTATGAGAAAATGGGACGTGAATACATTTTTTAAAACTTATTTGACTTTAAGTACCACCTCCAAACTTATCCTCATTAAAGTTCTCTTTTTAATCAAATAGTTGTCAATAACTACACATTTTAAAATATTTTCAAATTCTTTCTAAAATGTATTTCATAATTACCCCTACCATAAATAGTGCATACCTACTTGTATTACGTGTGTATGTGTGTATATATATACACACACATACACACGTAATACAATGAAATCAAATAGTGACACACTCAATAAAAAAATAGTAACATTAAATAGTGACACGCTTAACAAAGAAAGAGTAATATCAAACAGTGACACGCTCAACAAAAATATTTGGGTTACTGTTTGATGTTTATATATATATATATATATATATATATATATATATAATTTTAAAATTCAAATGATACACAAATATTAAAAGGAATTTTGAAAATCTCACATTTTAATCTTGAAAGTCTCACATTTTAATCTTGAAAGTCTCACATTCAATTAGGTATGCACTATTTATGGTAAAAGTAAAAAAGTTTTTATGACTTTTTTTTAGCATATATACTTCTATCCCAATTATTTTAAAAAGTATATTTTTATCCTATTAAATATTTTGGGAGGTACCGGCCTCCCTAAGCCCCTTGTGTTATTCAGATATTATTTATTTATTTATTTTGATTAAATATTTGTTAAATGTAAACTATAATATAATAATAGTGATTATGATTTATGCTATGACTTTTTTCTAAATATTTTCAAATTAAATAATAAAATGGTAAAACTAAAAATTAATTTATTTTCAGACGTCAGTTCTATGTAGTTATCAAACAATTTAATTCAATTCAATACTTAAATTTTAATGAATACCAAACAATCCACAAATTCAGCATTCTGCTTTCAACTTTCAGATTTCAGTTTTCAATTTTATCAAACATTACCTTGGTGGCTAACCACACGTGTCCAGAACTTATTTGGCATGTGTGAGTTCAACTCAATCCCCATATTAAAAAAAAAAAAAAAAAAGGAAAATGGGCACTTAATTAAATTACCAAAAAAAAAAACAGAAAAGGAAAATAGGTACCTAAGTGTAATTACCTTGAACTAAGTACAGGTATGGAAATCTCTGGTTAAGCAAGAATCATGTGAGGAACAGCATAGAAGAAGGTCCCCCAGGTGAAAATATTCCTTGCTTATCAGGTACCAAGCGGAGAAGAAAATATTTTCTCCAGCGGGTGACCTAGGGATAAAACAACGAGGTGTAAGGTACACCTGTCAAGATTAGTAGTACCATGTTCATAGCAAGTGGAAGGTATAATGAAGTGGTAGTAACACTTTTGTAAATACCATATTTTAATTTTTAAAATGAAAGATCGCTAATAAATGACAAAGATACATATACAATAAGATAAGTGTAGAATTTTTACTATACGTTTTAATATATTATTAAATAAATAATTAAATAATATAGTTGAATAATTAAATTAAATATACCACGGCAGTAAAGCAACCTCAATTACGGTGTGTGTAGTGTAGCATACACAATCACAATTACGGAACTTGGGTTGAGGCGTGTTTACGGCATCGAGTTGTGTGTCGGCTGAAGCGGCGGAGCAATTGAGGGATTGGATAGGATATGCTTTCGTCTGCTGTTACCAGTCACCATCTCCTCCCCAAAATGCTTTCGTGTAGCCTTCGTATTCATTTTGATGCCCATGTATCAGATAACACGTTCCATAGAATTATTGCATATGTAATTGATGAATCTTTTTCATTACAATTATAGCACACAATACATTATTGAGTTAACAAATTTAGAGATTGGTCTTTTTATATGAATTTGTTTGGACTTAAATTCATCAAATAAATTTATTTATTATGAAATTTATTTAAACACAAAAAATAATATCATTTAACACAATAAAAAATAGTAATATTTAAACATAAAAAAAATACTAACATTTAATATTAATATTTTTAAAAAATAACAATAGCAACATGTTCAACAAAAATAGTAACATGTTCAACAAAAATAGTAACATACTTAACAATAATTATCTTTCTCATATTTATATATATACATGTATATATATAACATTAAAAATAAAAAATAGTCAAATTCAAACACAAAAAATAGTATCATTTAAACACAAAAAATAGTAATATTCAAAAAAAAAAATAGTAACATTGAATATTAATATTTAGGAAAATAATAGTAATAATATGTTCAACAAAAACAGTAACATGAACAATAATATAGTAAAAAATAATAATATCAAACATTCAAGTCCAAAAAATAATAATATTTTTAACAAATACACACATAGATAGATTATATGAAATAAATACACACAAAGATAGATAATATGAAACAACAATTTGAGTTTTGAAAAACAGAGAAAAAACGGACAAATAATTTTTTTTGAAACCTTAACCATATTTACGGAGGCGAGTGATAAAAGTCTTATTGTGCTAAGATGCGAACCAGTTCCTCGATGGATTCAACATTGCTTGAAACCACGACGATGTCGCTACTAGCTGGCCGGAGAGAGAGAGAGAGGGAGAGAGAGAGAGAGTTTTGAATTTGAATTTTAAATTAATGATAGAGATTTTATTAACATATTTTAATTGACATTGAATTAAGGGATAACACTTTTTAAAATAAAAAATTAATTTAACCTCATTTCTTTTTCTTTTGTTTTTTTGACAAGAGAACACTTTAACCTTATTTCAAGAAAGGATATTTTGGAGTTTAAAAAAAATAGTGAACTTAACTATTTATTAGTAAGATTAAAAATAGAGTTATTTTTAAATAAATTTCCTTGACAAACTCAAGTCATTATAAATCCATTCAGGAGGATTCAACATTGATGCGAAATAACTTAAAGGACAACCGTGGAGATTGCATCAAAGACAAGTAGCCTTGAAGGACAACTGTGGAGGTCGCATGGAGGCCTAGTAGCCCTGAGGCCCTGAGGGGCAACTGCGGAGGTTACATAGAGGCCAAGTAGCCTTGAGGTGCAATCACGGAAGTTGGCTTCAGTTGTAACCACAAAGGTCAACTTCAGGTGCAACCACAGAGGTCAACTTTAGGTGCAACCATGGAGATCGGCTTTAGGTATAACCAAGGAGGTAAGTTTGAAGTGCAACCATGGAGGTTAGATTGAGGTGCAACTATGGAGGTTGGTTTGTAGTGCGACCAAGGAAGTTAGCTTGAGGTGCGACCAAGGAGGTTCGCTTGAGATACAACCATGAAGGTCGGCTAAATGTGCAACCAAGGAGTTTGGCTTGAGGTGCAACTAATGACGTTTGTTAGAGGTGCAACTACGGAGGTTGGTTGAAGGTGCAACCAATGCGGTTGGCTAGAGGTGCAACCAAGGAGGTTGGCCAGA